ACGCGCGGCGCGAGGCCCAGCGGGCGGCGGCCGCCGGGGGCCGCCGGCAGGCAGCCGCGGAGCCGCTCGAAGAGGCGCGCCGCGAGGTCCGGGTCCTCGACGACGCACGCGGCCGCGGTCCGCGACGCGCGGCACCCGCGCTCGCCGTTGAGCGGCGCGGCCTCGTGGCGGCCCTCCGTCGCGTCGATCAGCGCCCGCGCCTCGGCCGGCGACAGCACGCCGCGCACGGTGAGCGCGAAGGCGCCGCGCTTGTAGCGGCCGGGCGCGAGGTGGCAGGGCAGGGGCGCCATGCGCTATGCGCGAGGCTCGGCGGCGGCGCGCGCGGCGTCCGGTGCGCGCGGCGCCGCGGCGGGCCCGCCGCGCGCGGCGCCGGCGACGACGCGCCGGCGCCGGCGGCGCCGCGCGGCAACGGACGGCGGCAATGGGCTGCGGCAAGCGGGAATGCCGACGCGGAGGGGCAGCGTCCGCGCTCGCCTGCGCAGAAACCCAAAGCGCACGCTCAGAAGATTCGTAGTTCGGGCGCCGCGGCCGGCGCCGAGGGGGTTGACCGCCGGTATGCCTGGTAGTATGCGCCCGCTATGCGGGCTTTATGCGGGCTTTATGCGGGCTTTATGCGGGCTTTATGCGGGTGGTATGCGGGTGGTATGCGGGTGGTATGCTGGTGGTATGCTGGTGGTATGCGGGTGGTATGCGTCTGCTATGCCGGTGGTATGCGGCTGCTATGCCGGTGGTATGCGGCTGCTATGCCGGTGGTATGCGGCTGCTATGCTGGTGGTATGCGGCTGCTACGCTGGTGGTATGCTGGTGGGCTGCTATGCTGGTCTTATGCGCCTGCTATGCTGGTGGTATGCGGCTGCTATGCTGGTCTTATGCGGCTGCTATGCTGGTGGTATGCGCCTGCTATGCGCCTGCTATGCGTCTGCTATGCGCCTGCTATGCGCCTGCTATGCGTCTGCTATGCGCCCGCTATGCGTCTGCTATGCGGCTGCTATGCGGCTGCTATGCTGGTGTATGCCGTGGCTGGTGTATGCCTGGTGGTCGGCCCCCTCTGGGCCGGCGGGGTTGGGCATGCGCAGAGCTCTGTGGGTTGGGGTTGATGTCTCAGATGGCGTGGAATGCCCTCGGCCGAGCTGTTGAGCAATACGAGAAACTGTGCACGTACGACCTTATACCCGTCAATCTTGCAGGTGGCACCGTGACCGCGCCGCCCCGCAGGAGCTCGATGCCGGGCGCGCCGACGACCATGTAGAGGACGGCGTAGAACCGCAAGAAGCCCGTGCCCTCCGTGTCGCCCGACCAGATGCTGCGCCCGTAGTCGTAGATGCCGTTCAAGATCAGCACGGAGCGGAGCATCGTGAACATGATCATGGGCCTCACTAAGTCAGGGGCTTCACGCGCGCGCAGACGTCCTGCCACGCTCGGACCATCGACGCGCGCTTGCGCTGCGACGACGCAGCATAAAACCCCAACGACGCCCCGACGACGACACTCTGCAACCTCGCGGGCGTCTTAGCGACCCCCCGCGGGTCCCGGCCCGGCGCGCGGCCGCGGCGCGCGCGAGGTGCGTCGGGCCCCGGGCCCAGTTCGTGGTGCCCGGGGCCGTCATGGCCTCGGCGCGCGCGCGCGGCGGCGGGCGGGCCCGAACGGCGCCCTAGTCCTGCGCCTCCTCCGGGTCCTTGTCCTTCGACGGGCGCGCGCCGGACGCGCTGAAGTGCCAGTCGCCGTCGGCGTCGACGCCGTAGACGAGGCCGTTGAGCATGCCCGCGCCCTGGACGATGCGCGGCTTCTGCTGCACGAAGTCCGGCAGCGCGGCGACGGTCTTGGCCGCCGTGACGATGGATCAGCCGACGACCATGCGCGTCGTCCGGGAGCGCGGCGCCGGGCTCCGCGCGCAGGAGCGCAGCGGCAGCGACTTGGCGGGCACGAGCGCGAGGCCGCGCGCCAGGAGCATGGCTAACGTGGCGAGGCAGAGACGCATCAGAGAGGCTGGCGCGGGCTCAGAGAGAGTTGCCGCACGAGCTGAGCTGGCTCTCAGAGACTCAGTGGTGCAAGCTCCTTCCGTTCACCTCCGGCTTGCGCCGCGAAGCCACCAAACGAGAAGCATGCTGCTGCAGATCCGCGCGCCCATGCGCCGCGTCCTCGCGCCGCACATCCTCGGGGCCGTGCGTCCGCCGCCCGCGTGCCTCCGTCCGCACCGCGGCCTCGTCGTCGGCGCCGGGCCGACGCTGCCCGCGGGGCTGCCCCTCGGCGGGGCGGCCCGGGCAGCCCGCCCGCTCGGGCCCGCGTGCCTCCGTCCGCACCGCGGCCTCGTCGTCGGCGCCGGTCCGACGCTGCCCGCGGGGCTGCCCCTCGGCGGGGCGGCCCGGGCAGCCCGCCCGCTGCACCGCGGCCTCGTCCTCGGCGGCGCGGCGGCGCGGCCGGCCGCGCGGAGCCTCCTCGTCGGCGCGCGCGCGGGCCTCGGCGCGGCGCGGTCCGCGGCCCGGGCCGCCGCCGGCCGCGGCCGCTGTCGACGCCCGCGCGCGCGCCGCCGTCGGCGCTCGCGGGCGCGTCGCGCGCGGACCTCGTGCGCTACGCGACCTACGCCGCCGCGGGCGCCGGCGTCTACGTCGTCGCGTCCGGCGTCATGTCCGCCGTGTCGTCGATCATGCACGTGAACCCGGCGACGATGGCCAAGTACGGCTTCTACGCGGGCTTCCTTACGGCCGCGGTCGTCTTCGCCGCGCTCGTCGCGGGCTACCGCGCGATCCACATCCGGCCCGAGCCGGCGTACCGCGCCGCGCTCGACCTCATCCGCAAGTCCTACGCCGCCGACGCGACGCTCGGCGGCAACGTCCGCGCGGGCGGCCTCCGCGCCTACACGCTCGACGGCGGCAACGTCTTCCCGTCGCCGTCCGCGGCGCTCGGCGTCGAGTGGAAGCCGCCGCGCGTCATGATGCTCTTCTCCGTCCACGGCGACAAGCACGACGGCGTCGCGTCCCTCGAGGCCCTCAAGCGCCTCGACGGCTCCTTCGACTTCACCTACGTCGGCGTCGACGTCTGCAACAAGCACGAGGACCGGCTGCTCGTCCACGGCAGCGAGGGCCGCATGACGGAGAAGAAGGACAAGCTCCGCGAGCTCATCACGTTCAAGAACGAGCATCACCGGGCCTACGACTACTAGGGGCCGCTCTTTTTACACTGCGCGCCGCGCCGGCCGCGCGCTAGGGGGCCGGGGCCGCGCCGCGGCGGAGGCCCGGGACCGCGCGCGGCGGCGGCTGCGGCGGCTGCGGCGCGCGCGCGCGCGGCGCGTCGCCGCCGCGCGGCCCGCGCGCCGCCGCCTCCTGCTTGTTGCGGCCCTCGACGACGGCGCCGTCGTAGAGCTTCCGGTTCAGCGGCGACGTGAGGATCGCGTCCTCCAGGAGCGCGACAAAGTCCGCCACGGGGACGACGATGTCCTGGTTGATCCAGAACGTGTAGACCTCGGCGCCGCCCGACGGCGACCCGCGGTCGAGCACGGCCTGCTTGCCGTGGCGCAGCTCCTTCTCGCCCAGGAACTCCCAGTGGAACCGCGACAGCGACGAGTCCTCGAGCTTCCACTCGCGGTACTCGACGCCCGCGGCGACGGCGTTCGCCTGGAAGGAGCCCTTGTACTTGAGGCCGAAGGGCAGGAGCTGGATGAGGCAGGCGCCCTCGGGCATGAAGATGGCGTTGTTGAGGCCGCTGCCGTGGACGCCGACGAGGATCGTCGTCGACCGGAGCGCGGCGAGCTGCTCGTAGAGCGTCATGGCCTCGAAGGGCAGGAGCTGCACCTCGACGCCCAACGCCAGGGCCGCGTCGACGAGCTCCGCCTCGTTGAGCAGGAACCGCTTCCGCCGCCGGGACACGATGCCCACGCGGATCCGCGGCGGCGGCGGCTGCGCCTGCGGACGAATCGAATCTTCGACCCGACTTCGTAATCGACCGTGTCGACGCAATGCCTCGAGCACTCGAGGAGAGCCCTCGACGCGTCCAAAAATCAGCCGAATCGACGTCGATGTGACCGAGCTCGAGAGGTTTGAAGTGCGGTCGGGACGTCCCGGACCGGCGGTCGCTTTCCCGCGCCGGGCCGCGCCGCGAGGCCCAGCTTCTCGACGAGGAAGGCCATGGTCCGCCGGTCCGCGGACTTGTCCCGCCCGCTCGGCGCGCCGGCGGCGCCGCTGACGTCCCGGCCCGCCTCGGCCTCGGACGCGCAGAAGCACGTATTTTTGGGCACGTCGCGGTCGGACCGGCGCCAGCAGTTGTCGCTCAGGAGCCCGAAATAGTGGAAGAACTGCGTGTTCGGCGCGCGGGCGATGAGGTAGTGGCTCCGCCCGTCGACGGCGCCGTCGGGGCCGCGCCGCGCGGACGAGTGGAGGCCCTTGAAGTAGCGCCACCAGTGGTAGAACATCGCGCTCGGGTCGTCCTCGACGGACCTGTGTGGATTTCACATCTTCGACCCGACTTCGATGCGAGCGTATGCGACGGCTTCGACGCGAGCTCTTCGGCCGCGCTTCGAGAACTCGACGAGAGCGATCGATTGGTCCAAACATCAGCCGAATCGACGTCGACGTGACCGAGCTCGAGAGTTTGGCCGGACTCACCCAAACCAGCGGTCGAAATCCGCGCGGCGACGGGCTTGACGAAGGCCGGCTCGTGGACGAAGAGGGCGCAGGCCGAGTCGTTGACCGTCTTCCGCGCGTCGCCGCCCTTGCCCGGCCGTTTCACGAGCTGCTGCGGTATGGGCCGGTCGCCGCCGCAGGGCTCGAGGCCGCGGCGCCGCCGGTCGCTCCGCTTCTTCGCGGGGACGGCCTCGCCGCGCGCCGCGTACTTGGCCTCGAGCTTCGCGAGGCTTTTGGCGTCCCTGTCGTCGAGGCGGCCGCAGGCGCCGTCGGCCCAGCGGCAGAAGGAGTCGCGGCCGCACGAGTCCGCGGCGTGGACCGCGCACGCGTCGTCGAAGGTGTTGCAGGACGTGTAGTTCGTCAGCGGGCCGTGGTCGACGCCGTAGACGGCCCGGAGCCCGCTCTCGTCCCAGCGCGTGAGGTAGTCCGTGACCTTCTCCTCCTTCATGACGAGCGTGAGGAACTTGAACTTGTCGTCCCGGCTCTCGCCGTAGCGCTCCCAGAGCGACGCGTGCTGCGGGATGAGGTCGTGCCAGTCGACGTGGCCCTTGCGGAAGGCCTCGACGATGGGCGGCAGGGGGGCCCGCGGCGGCGGCGACGTGTAGACGCCGCGGTCCCAGACGTCGAGGCCGCCGCGGCCACCGGCGCCGTCGGGCGACCAGCCGCGGAGCTCCGCGCGGCGCCCGAGCTCGACGGCCTCGCGCGCGAGCAGGTCCAGGGGCCGCCGCAATTCCGGGCCGCCGCCGGCCCGCGCGGCCCGCGTGCGGTCCTCGACGCTCCGCAGGAACGCGGCGATGGAGTGCTCCAGCGGCAGCACGCGGCCGACGCCGAAGGTGCGCCGCGACAGGAGCTCGGGCCCCGACGACACGTGGGCGGCGAGCGTCGACTCGTGGACGACGAGCTGCACGAGGAGCAGCAGCAGGAAGCAGCCCGCGAGGGCCTGCGTCACCGACGGCGGGGCAGCCATGCTCGAGGATGTCGCTCCGCCGCGCTTCGCGTCGCCGCCCGGGGGTCCGACCGAGTCCCGCGAGGCCTCCCGCGCCGTCCGGTCCGGGCGAAATCGGAAATGTTAGGCGGCCGCGGCGCCCCGGGCGGTCGGCCGGCGCCCTAGTCCGCCTCCTCGGCGAGGCCCTCCTTCGCGTCGAGGTCCGCGTTGAACTGCTCCGCGAGCTGCTTCGCGCGGATCTTCTTCGCGCGCTTGGCGACGTAGTTGAGCTCCTCGATGATCCCGTCGTCGAAGTCGATCTTCTGGGCCTGGCCGAAGTCCGCGGCGGCCTCGCCGTAGTCGCCGAGCTTGCGGCGGGCCTTGGCGCGGAGCTTGTAGGCCTTCGCGCTATCCGGGTTGATGCCGAGGGCGACGGTCGCGTCGGCGACGCAGGCCGCGGGCCGGCCGCCCTTGAGGAGCACCTCGGCGCGCTTGCAGCACATGGCCGCGGACACGCCGCCGAGCGCGAGCGCCTCCGTGAGCTTGTCGCACGCGCCCGCGTAGTCGCCCGCGGCCTTGAGCTCCTCCGCGGCGTTCTTGAGCGCCGCCTGCTCTTCCCACTGCGCGCAGACCTCGCCGTCGACGGTGATGGGCGGGGGCGGGTCCAGCGCCTCGGCGCCCGTGCAGCCCTCGTCGTCCGACACCTCCTCGACGACCTTGCGCGTGTCGGGCATCTTGATCTTCAGCTCGAGGACGACCTTCTCGTTCGTGATGTCCTTGAGCTTCGCCAGGGGGTCGAGGACGGCGTCGCGGTCCCGCGGGTGGTAGACGAACTGGTGCTTCGGGTGCGCGCCGACCATGAGGCCGATGCGGTTGCTGAGCATGCCCACCGTCGCGTGGGGCTCGATGGTCACGGCGACGACGTCGCCGACCTTGTACTGGGACTTGACGTCCATGCCGCCGCGGTCCAGCGCCACGCACCTGACGCGCACGGACCACTGGTCCTTGAGCTTGCCTTCCGCCGCGAGCTTCGCGTCCTCCTCGGCCGTCCGCCGCGCGGCCTCCTCGGCCTCCTTGGCGCGCTCCAGCGCCTCCTTCTCCTCGAGGGCCGCCGCCGTGCCCGGCGGCGGGCCCTTGTACTTGACGGCGCCCTCGACGCAGAAGACGTCGCAGTAGTCGGACAGCGCGGAGTCGACGTGGTCGTCGGGGAAGAGCGTACTCCCGAGGGGCCGCTCGAGGTGCCAGCCGCCCGCGTCGATGGCGCCGTCGGGGAACTTCTTGTTGTGCGTGTCCACGAAGAGCTTCAGCACCTCGAGGAGGGGCTTGGAGCCCCAGGACTTGGGGAGCTTCATGGACTGCTTCAGGTACCCGGGCGTCCCCTCCGTGCCCTTGATGCAGTAGATCTTCATGATCGGCGCGACCCGCGGCGCGTCGCGCGACGCGGACGCGGCGGCGACGCGGACTCCGGGGACGGGACGCGGACGCGACGAAGGCGCGGCGACGGCGGCAGGACCGGCGAGCTCGATGGATGCGGCGGATGGCCACGCCGGACGCGCCGATGGTGGCGTCAACACCGGCTCCTTTGCCTGGGTTTTACGGTTGTCGGGCGGTCTGAATCGCGCGCTCGTCGGGCTGCCCCTGCCGTTCGCGGGTCATGGCGGCGCCCGACGCCTGGCGGTGCGAGTGGAAGAAGCTGGACCCGCGGGGCCGCGGGTCCATCCCCTTCGAAGACCTGCCGCAGCTCCTCGACGGGTTGGGCGTCGACCTGAGCGACGACGAGCTCGAGGACGCCGCGACGCGCATCCAGCGCTGGCAGGCGAGCCGCCTGCTCCTCCAGGGCTTCCTGCGCTGGTTCGCGGGCGACGGCGGGTCGGCGAGGATCCTCGGCGACGGCGACCTGCGCGCGGCGCGCGACGGCCTCCGGGAGCTCAACGCGAAA